AACATAAACGAGTTTTTAGACGTCTCAAAACTCGCCATTGGGAAGCAAAAGCTCTGAACTTACAGAAACGGGATGAAAGGCAGCATGAACAACGTGAACGGCATTATTCGTGAAAGAATGGGTGCGGGGCGGGGACGAGTGCTTGGAGATGTGATTGGAGGGGCAAAGGCAAAAACGCACAACAGAGCAATCATGCTTACAACTCGGTGAGCCTCGTTAAGTTGCCGATTGTGGAAGGAATCGCACCAGTGAGCTTATTAAACTGTAAAGATCTGTGACAATAAACGAATCAGGCATGAATGGCACAAGCATGGGTGAAGTCCGAACTGTGGAGAGCTGGCCTGGTTAAACCTGTAGAAGACCAAGCCACTACTCCTAGGCCCATCCTTTTTGGTGAAACAAGATTGAGTTTGGTATAATCTGTTACCTTCCCTTTTTAAAGCGATGGTTCACATTTGCCACCCAAAATCCAAAACCCTGGCGAACTGTTACTGCGGATGGGAAGTGTCCGCACGAAATCCTGGTTTTCGCCAGCCAACACTTTCGCGCTGGCAAGCCTGGTTCAAAACAAAAACGTCTGAACCAAACCCTGCCAAAAGTTGCCCGTCGCCTTAAGGAATGCTACGATCAGGGAACGTTTGCTCGTACCAAAAGCTCGGATGTCAGGGAGTGACATTCTGTATGATCCGCACAAGGGTGCTAGGTATCTAAATTCTCTGGAGCAACGTTTTCCATGCCCATACCTTTCTTCTCGCCTTTACATTTCATTCATATTAATTTTCCAATCTTTGCACATATCCCAATGCTTTCCTTTCATCTCCATGCGCTATTCTTGACAATCTTCGCACAGCCACTGCTCCTGCTATTTCCGAATGTCGAAGTAGCTAGTCCACTCTTCTTTCATAGCCATCAAGTTACTGGTTAGCAATACCTATTGTGGTTGACGGTACAAGATTCAAGATGGGTTTGATTGATAAAGATGATGAGGGTGAGTGGATCATGTCCGTCCAAACTTAACAAATCAGGGATCCCAGAATATTATCAACCACCATGCAAAACTAACTTGCAATAAGTTGGCTAGATTGCATAACCTCCCTGGATTCTAAGTTCCAACTCAAATAAGACTACACTTCAGCCCAAATGCCTTTTCTTCTATCAGTGGAATCAAGCCTCATGCTCTCAACACATACAAGAGTATTAGGCTCGAAAGAGTGCCGATTGCAGCAGGAATCGAACCAGTGAGCTCATTCTTGACAAATAATCTGAGATGATGGGCACATATCATGCGATTTATCATTCCAGAGAGTTGTTTTCGCGGAGAAATGAGCATCCAATAGCGGGTGAGAGGGCACATGGGCATACAAAATCTACACAATTATACGAGATCACAGAGGAAGTGTAAGGTGACCAAATCTAGTCCTAATCTCCTAGCATACTGGCAGACGGCAAAAGGTTGAGATACATAAACCCAGGAGAAGTGTGGGTGGTTAGGAGAGTACGGAGAAGAGGGAATAGAGCGGAAATAAAACAGGAAACATTGCCAGATGATATGAGGGATATAGAAAGGATGGAAAAAAAAGGGAGTGGTGTGGGGGAGGAGATGGGATGGCAAGAAGTGAGAGGGTGAGGATGTGAGGGAAAGGGAGGGAAAGAGTTAGGAGGTCAGCTGGTCACAAAGAGCAACAGAAATACAGGAGCAGAGTAGTAGAGGGTGCACAGGCGAGGAAACGAGAGTCAAGAACTTGATCTCAGAAGGAGAGGGTTGGAAGAACGAAAAGGAGCTGCTTAGGAGCTAGGAGTTTGTGCGACTTTGACAGAACGGCAGGATTGAGTGGATGCGACTGTGACAACCCGAGTCCTTGGCTACTGTGTACGAGAGGGAGTATAGAGATAGTCGCTTTACAAAGCTACGTGGCACTAAAATCCCAAGAATTGGACCAACTCATACTTCAATTCAGCTTACATGACTACGCAAGCAAAGGAAAGGCAAAGGAGAGGGTAACGGTGGATGGACCGTAAAGGACACACGAAAAAACAAGAGGGCTTAGGAGAGTGGTTACAAGCAAGAGTTGAAGGGACAGATATAGAAGGCAAGGACTGAGACAGACGACAGAGCAGAAGTTTGTCTCACGCAAATTAAGAGTCGTGCCTTACATTTTTTGGAGTTTTAAGAGGTTGCTTATTTTGGAAGGTATTGAACCACTGATTGTATACGAGGAAATTCTTCTGCGTTAATGGGCAGTGCAAAGCATGCATAATAAATTCTGAGCTCACACGTAGGTTACCAGTACGCAACTCGACGCATTCATGTGATGGATCAGAGCAAAGAAAGAACAGAAAAATAAAACGCACACACATACGCATGCACACCGCTTGCCCGCCCGCCTGGCAACAGCAGCAGCAGCAGCAGCAACAACAACAAAAGCAATAACAAATGCATGGAAAGGAGGACACGAGACACAGGTACATTAGCAGAAACAATCAAAGGGTCCGAGAAATGGAAGAAGGAAACAAAGGGGGAAACAGAAGTAGCGGAAGGGGAAGAGGGGGGGGCATAGAAAAATAAGGTGGGAGCAAGAGAATGGAGAACACAAAACAGGTAGGCGGGCGGTCGTGTGGGCGGGCCGGCGGGCCGGCGGGCTGGCAGGCCGGCAGGGAGGCAAGCGCAGGCATGGGGGGTTGAAGCACACGTACAGAAACGAGAGTTGGCTGAGGTTGCTGATAGTATCCGGAATGGGCTGCCTTCCTAGCGGGAGGCCCTTTAACGACCTGTACCCAATTGCACCCAACCCAAGTGCACCCAAACACACTCAAATCGATCGGACAGACTGAACCCAGAAGAACTGCACCCTGTTGCAACCGATTGCACTCATAAGCACACACCTACTACCCAGGGCGCACAGATGCACGCAAACATGCAGCCAGATGGTTTCCCATTCCGTCAGCCACAGATTTGTCTTGAAGAAGGCGGCACTATTGACAATAATGCTAGCACTAGTACTCTTCACCGCACGAGGGGGCTTTTGAGTCGACTCAAAAGTCATCTTGAAGAAGAAGGCGGCACTATTGACAATAATGCTACTAGCACTAGTACTCTTCACCGCACGAGAGGGCTTTTGAGTCGACTCAAAAGTCACCATGAAGAAGAAGGCGGTACTATTGACAGTAATGCTAGCACTAGTACTCTTCACCGCACGAGGGGGAACACTGCGGCCATCACGAATGAGTGCAGATCGGATCTTACAGCGGCAGATGTCATGACTCGGGAGAGAGAGCAGATCGGAGCTCACAGGTAGGTGATCATCCCGTTTTTGTCGCACAATATGTTTGCTGAGGCACTTTCACAATCAGGACTGGGGCCCCATTTTGACCGCAAAAAACCCCATGCTTTCTGGTAGTCCATGAGAAATTTTTCTGTGGGGTAGTGGAGTGAGGGAGCGAGGGTGGCGTGGGGGAGGGGTGGTGAGGAGGTGGGGAGGGGGAGGGAAGGGGAGAAAGGGATGTGGAAGGGAAGGAGGTGGTGGGGGAAAAGCATCGGGGAAAGTGTTAGATATGTTGGAGGTAAGGGGTGGCTGTGGTGTGAAGCAGCGCATTTGAAGGTATCGGGCCTGTTCGAGCAAGCTCGATGCTCTTGGTGCCATTCATCGTATTATGAGAAGAAAAAAGCAAGTCCGACTTTGCAAGCCAGATTATTGCAAGCATATTTTTATACCAGCCAGCCCCTCTTGCGAGTCAACGTCTGATGAAGTCTTTTGCAACTCAAACTGTTAGAAAATCCATCTATCATCCAAACAAATCCTATCATGCACCATCCTTATGAAAATCATCATCATCATTCTTTCATGCAAACCATCATATTCTCACACATAGTAAACCATGATATCGTACATGATAAAAATAATTAAGTCCTCCTAGCAAACCATCATAATATCATGCATGATATAATCACCAAAGCCATCTACCATGCTATTTTGCAGGATCGTGCATGTGACGCAGCCATCCTATCATGCGAACCATCATCGCCTACATCCCAAAACATAGCCCGACTCCACAAAGTAACTACCGCGTATATGCTTAGGAAATCCAATGCGTGCGCAATGTTGCCTGCTACAACGTATATACAGGTTTTCTTACAGGGCCTAGACTCCACCGACCCCGATACTGTCGGGATATTGTGCGTACTGTGCTCAGACCACGAGAGTTGCGACATCGTAGATTGATAGCTCAAACTACTGTATCCGCCGGTTGAGGGTTTCAGTGGGCTCGGTACTCCATGTATACTTTGTACAGTGCGGTATGTACCAAGTCTGTAAACACATCCCATAGTATACCATCAGAAAAATGGGAACGCAGCATTGAGTGGTAAACGCCGACATGCCTGGGATGTATGACGTGCAGATTGTGGTTTCTTCCCACCGCAATAAACGACCAAGGGTATTGCCCAATGTACATCGAAAACAGAGGGGGGTCAAGATCACCGTTAACGCGCGAAAAATGTGCTACAGTGACCTAGCGTGACTTGTCATAAATTTCGATTAGTTGCCCAGTACCCCCAGTTACGACCGAGAAGTATCGAGGCCTAGGTTTACATCAACCGGAATTTACTGTGACATCCCGCGCGTTAACCGTGGTTGGAGTCGATTTACCGTCGCGTCAACAGCAGAGGCGAAAGGACAGGAAAGTGTTGGTTACCAGTGCGTAACACGTAACAATTTCTGTTACTTCTCCTGTATTCAGAAACTTCTTAAATATGACTAAGATGTCTGGATTGTGCCAGCAACCTGGTAACTTGATATGTTACAAAGTTCAAAACCAATATCGAATGGAACGTTATATATTGCAGTTGTCAATTAAAGAATGATTCCTTTCAATTAAAATAAATAAAATTATAAATTTCTAAAATTAGCTCATAATTAGAAATCAGTACAAATGAGCGGCTAAAAGGCACTACGGGATTTAACCTACACACCTACACACTACCACACCTACACACCAACAGACTACAGAAAAACACGCTCCCATCCTTCAATCAGAATTCGCACCTTCCCAGAACCCAGCACCAAGCCCTTGGGTTCATCATGCTTCAAGAAGGTGGGATTGTTGACCATCGCGGCGTGTAGAGCCGCCACAACAACAGTAGTCTTGGCACGGACCAGGTTACTGTTGGTCTGCGGAACACCACCAAGAGAAGGCTGGCCATTCCCCGGCCTGTAGCTTTCAAGGGGGGCTTCAACCTGCACGGATGCACAAGAAACAGCTGTTAGTGGCTAAGCTTCAGGTAACGTTAAAATACTAAGCAAGAAACTTACCACGACACAAAGGTAAGCCACCATGGGAATCTTCACGTAGACCAGAGAGGACGTGACAACAGAGAATGCAGCCAAAGCAGCCTTCTCAAAAGCAATGTTAGCAAAGGGAATTCCTTCGCCATTAACATGCCACGCATATCCAAGTACAGCTGCACAGGAAACAACAAGTAGATTAGTGTACTGTTCAAAAACCATAAATAAAAACACTAATACCGTGCTTCTTACCATGCCTGAATTCTTCCAGCCACTTCTCTTCCGTGCGCTTCTTAGAAGGAATTATCTGCTCCACCGCCAGCAACGGCCACTTGCTCTCATCCACCAACCCACCCGCGCCCCATGCATAGAAACGAACCTTCTTGTGGGTGTTTGAACGTTTCGTTTTGATGACCTTCATCACCAGCTTCTCGAACTCGATTCTGCCGCCAGTCGCGTAGAAATACTCGTCGCGATTCACTCCACACAGCTGGTACTTGGTGATGAGGTGAGGTTGGAAGACTTCGAATGTTGGGAAGAACTCCATGCACTCCACTGGCGCGTCTGTTATCAGCCACGTGAAAGTGTCGAGAGCCTTTACCTGCAGTCGAATAAACGGGTAAACAGCAGAAACATTATTAAAAGCATATGACCATGGTAGGGCCGTCTAAATACCAGCACACGAATATTTAACACACGGACGGTCAAACAGCGAATGTTCCATAAGAACCAAGACTTACCGCAAACTCCTTCTTTTCGAGGCTTGTCTTCACAATCACGTTGCCATTGTTGTCCCTTGTGAGATTTGCCGGGTTGACAATTGGGCCGTCTGAAGACATCTCCGACACCCCGCCCGCCTGTTGCGCCTCAAGCTCACCCAGTCGGGAACGCAGGATTTCGCACTCAGAGTTGGCGGCGGCAAGCTTCTGCTGCGCTTCAACTTGCGAAATCTGCAGGATGTCAACGGTTGCTTTAAGATCTTCAACCTGCGCCTGCAGTGCGCGATTCTGTCTGACCCAGTGCGCATTGACAGCTGCAAATAGGAACCAACGACAAGTTCAGTATGAAATAACAATCAAATAAGAACTTAACATCACAGCTGGAAAAATAGAACAGGTCAAATGTTCCAAGAATACACTCACCTTCCGACCGTGTTCCGCGGACGGCACCGTTTTGTTCGACGCCCAGCTGTTGCTGCTGCTGAGCAAGCTGCTGCTGCTGAGCAAGCTGCTGCTGCTGAGCAAGTTGCTGCTGCTGAGCAAGCTGCTGCTGATGCTGTTCGGCACCAGCTTCGTCCTCAGAATCCTCCTCGTCATCCTCTTCCTGCTCCTCGTCCTGCTCCTCGTCCAGCCCCTCGTCCAGCTCCTTGTCGAAGGCGGAGCGGTTATCCGTCGAGAAATCCTCAGCCAGCGCGCCGGTGGTTGCGTCAGCGAGAAACTCAAGGTTGTGCTGCTGCTGTTGCTGGGAAGCAACAGGCTGCTGCTGCTGCTGCTGCTGGGAAAAAACAGGCAGCTGCTGCTGCTGCTGGGAAGCAACAGGCTGCTGCTGCTGCTGGGAAGCAACAGGCTGCTGCTGCTGCTGCTGCTGGGAAGCAACAGGCTGCTGCTGCTGCTGCTGCTGCTGGGAAGCAACAGGCTGCTGCTGCTGCTGCTGCTGGGAAGCAACAGGCTGCTGCTACTGCGTTGGGAAAGCAACAGGCTGCTGCTGCTGCGTTGGGAAAGCAACAGGCTGCTGCAGCTGCTGGGAAGCAACAGGCTGCTGCTGCTGCTGCTGCTGGGAAGCAACAGGCTGCTGCTGCTGCTGGGCAGCGACAGGCTGCTGCTGCTGCTGCTGCTGCTGGGTAGTTGTAAAAAGCTGCTGCTGGCGATTCGCGGGACGAGGACGGTTCGGGAGAGAGCTCGCGAGAAGCTGCTGCTGAGAACCCGCGGGCAGAGGGTTCAGGTTCGTAACGGTCTGCTGCTGCTGCTGGGAACTTGCTGGCAGAGGGAGGTCCGGGAGCCCGTCTGTGACAAGCTTCTCCTCGGTCGACGCGGGAGCAGGTAAGTCAGCTTGACTGCCTGTAGTAGCTCCAGCCTTCCTCCTCCGCTTGCCTTTCTGCCCACCGGACTTAGCGGCGCGGGATTTTTTCTGAGGAACCGGCACACCAGAGAGGGTGTGAACACACTTGGTCTTGCCGACGCTGCTAGCAATCGTCTCACGGCGCTTGAGAGCTTGCTGGTAGAGGGCTCGGTGGTTGTTCACAAGTGCATCTGCTTCAGCTTCAGTCATTTCTGCTGCAAATGGCGATGGAAGCGTGACCCCCTCCAGCCCCTCGCCCACCCCCTGAACCCTTCTGGTCAGCCCATTCCCTGGCCGATAATTTGTTTCTTCTACTTCCCCCATCGTATACGACGATATATCATCGTATGTGAAGATAACGGCTTCATATACCAGGTGTAATGATACTTCGGAAGAATCAAAACTTGCACGAAAATGTTTTGACCGCCTATTCCTCGTCGGGAGTGAAACGTCAGCAAAAAAATCGGGCAAATATGTTGCGACCTCCGATGATTGGTTGGCTTGCGCGAGGTCGGCTGGCCACGCCGCGTGCGGTGCGAGCATCTTGACAGCCCCACGGTCCGGAGCCGTCAGATGTACATGACGGTGCACGTTTCTGCTCAAATGAATGTACGATTAGATCGCAACTGTCAGTGCGAATGCTGTCAGCTGGTTAAAGCTCGCGGCCCAAATTCCCAAATTCCACAAGTTTAGTAAGGTCGACCCAGGTGTTTTTCAGGTGGTTTCTGACGCAAGTTCTGTTTTCGGCTTTGGAGTTTGGTTTCACACACCCCTCCCCGTCAGGATTACAAAGGTTGCCACGCGCGCCCCGCAATTTGGGCCGCGAGCTTTAAGTCGAGACCGTCAGACGAGCACGACAGCAGAAATGTGGCTCTCGATCAATCCACACCGTCAAGATGGAATCTTCACTTATACAGCACGACAGGTAATTGGAAGTTTCGAGAGTGGGGCACCACAGCTCAGCACGGAAATGAACCACGCAACCAGGCAACCAGGTTCATTGCACAGGACTTAGCCACCTATGCAAAGCCACGCGGCAACTACCCCGCCTGTGACACCCCTCACCCTATCCAGCACAGAGGCAGCTGTATGAACGTGGCTGGATAATGATGCGTTGGTTCACCTCTGCGGTTTCCTATTAGCCAATGGCAGTCGTGACGTGGCCAGGAAATGGAGTTTCCAACATAGTTATGCTATGTAATTTCCCAACCGGCGCAATGTACACTCGGTAACCTTCGCACGAATAACCAGGTGGTTCTATACTTATTAACATTATTGCCCTGCCCAAACATGATTTCTGTATTCTTTTGTTGCACTTTAAGTGTGTGTTTTCAAACTTTTTAAGCAGGTAGTTTATGAACTAACCTTTTAAATTGTACGTGATCCATGTATGCCTAAATATTGGTGTTAGTCAATATACAAGTGTCACTAATACGACACATCAAACTACATTTGTGGAGCGATGTCAAACCACTTCCTACGGCAAGGGAGTAGGAGGTAGTAGAGAACTGTGTGAAGAAATACTGTTAAAAAAACCATCCAACCAAGCGTGCGGTGACATGTTGCGCACAGGTCTGTGCTTGCACAGTTTCGGGCCACCAACTGCACAGACATGCGCCGCGTGCTGTGTACTTGTGCGAATGATCTCAATCCAGTTTCTACCGTCAAACAATATGATGTACTAGCGAACCGTGTGAAGAAATCGAGGTAAAAGTAACACTGAGACGTTGAAACAGTGACACGTTGCGCACAGGCCTACCTTTGCATAGTTGTAGGGTAGTAAACGCACATACGAGTGTCATGTGCTGCGTAGTTGTGCGAATGAGCTCAAACCAGTTCCTATGGCTACGAAATATCATGTACTAGGTAACTTTATGAAGAAATAGGGGAAAAAAGGCATCCAGACGTTGGCGCAATGACATGTTGCGCATAGGCATATCCTCGCGCAGATTCGGGCCAGCAAACGCACAATCATGCGCCACGAGCTGTGTAGTGGTGCTAACCAGATGAAATCAGTTCCTATTGCTAGGTAATAGGATGATGATGAGAATGGTGTGGAGAAATAGTGGAAAAAATAGCATCCAGATGTTGGCGCGGTCACATGTTGCGCAAAGGCACATCCGCACGCACATTCAGGCCATCCAACGCACAAACATGCGCCACCAGCTGTGTAGTAGTGCAAACGAGATGAAATCAGATCCTATGGCTAGGTAATAGGATGATGAGGATAACAGTGTGAAGAAATAGTGGAAACAATAGCATCTAGATGTTAGCGCAGTGACATGTTGCGCGCTGGCCTATCCACGCACAAACATGCTCCATGAGCTGTGTAGTTGTGCTAACGAGATGGAATAACATCCTATGGCTAGGTAATAGGGTGATGATGAGAAGTGTGTGAAGAAATAGTGGAAGATCAAGTGACGACATGTTTGTATAACGATGAGCATGCTGGACAAGTTTGGTGTCATTCACAGCGTCTAGCATTACATCACCATGCGAAACGGTTCACCAGCCACATATCTACAGTCCTATCTAACTGAATCAGATGCACAGCCCGCTTGATGCTATGTATCTCAATCACTTGATACCTAGCTGCAAGTGGGGGCCATTTCAAGCGCTTGCACTTGGTGTCGCTATCTAATGCGGGTTGCACGTCATAGTACTTGATATATGCGTACTCCTTTGTCTGCCCATCCACCTTGCAGTGAAACAGCAGTAGGACCTTTGCATACCACTCCTCGTGGCCGGCCTCTGTCTCACCCTTCACGGCCACGTCTGAATACCGTGGCCGCCCATGGTGTCTCGGCAGGGCACGCACTCGATGAGGCAATCGGCTGTACTGTGCGTCGACCGCCGATGGCATGGCCATTTCCCAATGCACCTGACACGAAGACACAATACACATTCTACGTATCACAACCATTCGCATCTAGGGACTGAAGGGACATGGTGATTGGTCACTAGTAGAACTGATGAACATAACACACCTGTATGCTCGCGATGTCCTCCCCCTTGTTGTTGCACCCAGGGGCTGCGTTCAGCGCCGTCCGCAGGTGTTTTAGATCAGCCCCAATTTCCTTCTCGAGCATCGCATCACGATTCGCCTGTGGCGCATTCGGGATGCAGAAAGGTGCCGCCTCCCTGCAGCGGGGAACGTGGAGGAGGCAAGATCGACGCGAGAGCACTCGCACGCCCGTCCTTTGTGCCTGCGGGAGAAATGGGAATACTACCACCACGTTAAACCGTGTTAACGAACGATGATGCAAATGACACGACAAAATAACCACCTGACACGCACCTTGATCATCGCTGTGTCGTACGCCTTCTTCGCGCGAAGCATGGGTGCGATTGCTTGCAATCGCAAGCGCTGCTCCTCGCTCTGTACAACCTGTGCGTTCACTATGCGCTTGTTAGATGCGCGATATGGTGTTTTGATGAACTCTATGTGCAAGTGCTCGTAGAGCTGGGCGGAGTAGTGCTCTGGCAATCCTGCACGACGGATCGTATCTATGAAGTGGCTAATCAGGTGCATTTTGATGAAGTTCCAATCTGATGCCTGCTTGAAATGCGTCGTCAGGCCGTGTATCATCCTGCACAAGAAAGAGTGGATGATTCAGATTTGGCACGGAGGGTGTGACAAAAGTTAGAAGAAGAAAGAGGTTTGAACTAGCAGAAATGGGGATACAAATAGCAAACCCTAGAAGGGTTGTACTCGCTATAGAGCACCCCACTACAGGCTAGAACAATAAGATAATATTCTGACACACCCCCATAGCCAAAGTGGGGTGTAATCAGCAGAGCAGGCAAAGCAATACAAGCTCAGGGTGGATCACAATGTCACCACACATTCTGAGCACAAGTTCAAGAAGAGATAGTTTAGAGTTCACAATTATGAGCAGAGCTAGTGGTAGTCACAACGGGCAAGTGAGGAGGAGGAGAGAGAGTGAGGGGAGAGGAGATAGGAGGCGACGGCTGAAGCTGCAGCCACACGGGCAACAGGAGGCACACTGGCACAGCGGCTACCGGACAGCGCCCGGACTACAGGAGTAACAGGCCCCGCGGCTCAAATAGCGGCGGACGGGCAACGGACCCACGGGCGGCTGGCACAGCTGGCTACGACTGGGCTACCGGGACAGCGCCCCGGACTACAGGTGCTGCGAACGACAAACTGACAACCTCCACTCAACCTCCCGCACACAGTCCCACCCCCCTGATGCACACCCACTGCTACACCGCTAGCTGCACTCCTACGCACCCCCCTTAAACCCTAAACCCGAGTCTCCCACACAACCACCCCCCTCAGCGACAGCTGCAGCAGTGGGAGACGAAGGAGGAGGAGGAGCAAAGGGAGGAAGGCACACCGAGCACCCCCATACCCGCCACCCCACAGCTCGCCCCTCAGGTCGCCTCGACGGGCGACGGGAAATGGCAGGGGGAGGGGGGGGGGGGGGGGGGGGGGGGGGAGGCGGTGTGGTGAAAGGGGCCCACCACGGGCCTGGTTGGAGGGCGGGGCCGCGACAAGGGGCGGGGCCGCGACGAGGGGCGGGGCCGCGACGAGGGGCGGGGCCGCGACGGTCGGGCAGGGCCGCTTCGAGGGGCGGGGCCGCGACACAGGGCGGGGCCGCGACGTAGGGCGGGGCCGCGACGGTCGGGGCGGGGCCGCGACGTAGGGCAGGGCCGCTTCGAGGGGCGGGGCCGCGACGCAGGGCGGGGCCGCGACGTAGGGCGGGGTCGCGACGTAGGGCGGACGCCCGCGAAGGTAGGGCAGACGCCCGCCGCGCGCCTCGGGGCGCACAGCGGGCAAAGAACCGCCGTGCGCCCCGGGGCGCACGTCGGGCAGAAAACCGCCGCGCGCCTCGGGGCGCACGGCGGGAAGGAAAAACCGCCGCGCGCCTCGAGGCGCACGGCGGGAAGGAAAGGTAGCAGTGGAAGCGAGGTGGAAACCCACCCACAGGATCGATCCAAGGGGATCGACCTGCTCTGATAGCATGACAAAAGTTAGAAGAAGAAAGAGGTTTGAACTAGCAGAAATGGGGATACAAATAGCAAACCCTAGAAGGGTTGTACTCGCTATAGAGCACCCCACTACAGGCTAGAACAATAAGATAATATTCTGACAGGGTGAATGATAAAGACGTGTCAAGCATTGCAACGAACACCACTCACCGGTGCGCCTTGGTCTTCAAGTCGAGCAGACTTTTCTCTGTGTGCTCGCCCGCTCGTGCACACTCCAAATACCACGCAACCAGGTTCATTTCACGTGACGTAGCCACGCGTACAAAGCCACGCGGCAACACTCGAGGGTGACACCCCTAACCCTATCCAGCACAGCGGCGGTTCTATGAACGTGGCTGGGATAGAGCGTTGGTTCGGTGCGGCGATTTCCCATTGGCCACTAAAAGGTGTGTTGTGCCAGCTGTTGGCATACGTGACGTGGCCGCCGAAAGGTGTTTCCAACATAGTAATGCTATGTAATTTGCCTCTGATGGCGCGATGTACATTGTATAACACACGCATGAATAGCCTGGTTAAATTATAATTATTCAGAGTAGTGCCCAGAACTTACATAATATTTGTGTACTTTGGTTGCACCTTGAGTGTGTTTTTTGATATCATCTTTAGCAATTCGCGAATCATTAGACCTATTGAAATGTAGGTAATCGACTAAATCTAGGTGTTAACCGAAATATATGTGACAGTAACACGACACATCAACCTGCTTCTATGGCTAGGGAATAGGATGTACTAGGGAGGTGTGTGATGAAATAGGACTAAAAAAGGCATCTAGACGTTGGCGAGCTTACATGTTGCGCACAGGCCTATCCTTGCACAGATTCCAATGTTTTCTCGCATTTTCGGAACATCACAACTCGATTCCAGTTATGGCGAATGACATCTTACCTGACTAGCATGCTCAGTATGTAGTAAATGCTTCAATCATCTACAATACCTTCGTATCATCTACGATGTCATAGTATTCAGGAGTCACCATGCAAAACGGTTTACCAACCAGGAATCCACCTCACCAACGGGCCGAACGAGATGAACGGCTCGTTTGATGCTATGTATCTCAATGACCCGGTAACGCTGCCTTACTGCAGGCCACCTAAGTCTAGTGCACCCCGTCAACTTATCCTTTCTAGGTTGGATCTGGTAGTACTTGATATATGCGTACTCCATGGTCCTCCCATCTACTTTGCAGTGAAATAGTAAAAGAACCTTAGCGTACCACTCTTCCGTCCCATTGTCGGTCTCCCCTTTCACCACCACGTCTGAGTACCATGGACGTCCATGGTGTATTGGCAGGGCACGTACACGATGGGGCAGTCGGCTGTACTGTGCGTCAACTGCTGCTGGCATGGCCAACTCCCAGTGTACCTGCAGACATTACAAAAACAATGGGCTTAGAGGTGATGTCGCCCTAGTGAACGGTATTCTATAGTATAAAAACATTGTACCTGTATGCTCTTGATGTTCGACCCCTGGTTGTTGCACGCAGGGGCAGCGTCAAGGGCCGCTCTTAGGTGTGCCAAATCTGCCCCAATCTCCTTCTCCAGCTTCTCGTCACGCTTCGGTTGTGCGGCGTTCGGGACGCAAAAAGGAGCAGCTGTCCGACCGCGAGGGACGTGTAGGAGCCAAGATCGTCGCGAGAGCACACGCACGCCTGTCCGCTGTGCCTGCAGACGTTAATAGCAATGGACATGCACGTTTCAGATTCAAGTCGTACTTGACATGCACACATGCGAATAGAGGAATTAGCTCACCTTGATCATGGCTGTATCGTACGTCTTCTTCTTGGCTAGCATGGGTGCAATAGACTGCAAACGCAAGCGCTGTACCTCACTCTGTACCACCTGCGCGTTCACACTACGCTTATTCGAGGAGCTATAGGGGGTTTTTATGTATTCGATGTGCAAGTGCTCGTAGAGTTGTGCAGAGTAGTGGTCTGGCAAGCCTGAACGCCGTATCGTATCTATGAAGTGGCTAACGAGATGCATCTTGATGAAGTTCCAGTCCGAAGTCTGCGGGAAATGTGTAGTCAAACCGTAGAGCATCCTGCGCGACAATTGGGTTGTGAACACACCCAGAGTTAGTAGGCTAATTGCGGCATGTCATACTGCGTCGAATAGATAAGCAACTCACCGTTGAGCCTTGGTCTTCAATTCGTGCAGACTGCCATCGGTGTGCTCGCATGCACGTGCGCACTCCAGGTACCACTCGATGTACGAAACCAAAGCTTTCATTTGGTCATCCGTAATGCACCCTTCCGCAATAAAGGGCAGAACCTGCATCACATAACGATGCTCGAACGCTTGGTAATTGGCACCTTTGGCGAAGTATTCACCCGATGGCAGCCTCATGCATCCACCACGTGTGGACTTTTTAAGTTGTTTTAGACGTTGATCTAGCAACTTCATCTTCCTGGGATAGTTTTCCCTAATGTGCGCTCGAATGCTATCCACAATGTGCTCGAAAAGGCCTAGGTCGGCTTGATGCATGATATCAGGAAGCACCGCAAGATACGGGTTGAGCAAGCTCTCCGCTTCCCACCGCCATCCCCAAAGGTAACTCTGCACGTATATAGCATACGATAGTTAGACGAGGGTTATAACATAATTCAAAATGGAAGGGGAGTTTGTAACATACCTGGACCGGGTGAGTCGAAATGGCGTCATCGCCATCAGGTTGGATCGTCTTTGTCCGCACCGAGAGAACAATGGCGCGTTGCTCCGATGGCGTCCGCGCTTGAATGCGGTTGGTGAACAACGCAAGCTTGTCCTTATGAACCTTGCATAGTGAGCAAGGAAAGTTCGTCGATCCCGACTTCGTGCACGTTACTTTGCACGATTCCGGGTAATCCGTGACATGTGCATACATGGATGGCCACACGTTGATTGTTTTCCCCGCCGAGTCGACCATATCTATACCCGTATGAGAAGCACGCTTCAACCCCGCTAGCACCTCGTTCATGATATAATGGAAGATCAGCGTCCTATCTAGGGAATCATACTCTTCGGGATACTCCGGGAGCAAGGCAAGCAAGACGTGCCCATAGGGCTTCCACCTATCGTCCTTGTCAATATTTCCTAGTGTCAAATACACGGGATGCCCTTTAGCCTTCCCACGCTGATCCATATGGGTCTCATCACTTGCAAGAATGAGAGCAGCGACAACACCTTCCGGGTTGACTTCACGTATATTCTTTTGAAGCTCCTCCCACCATAGCGCGGTTTCGGGTGTTGAGTAAACTCGCATGGTGCCATCTTTAACGACGCGAGCCTCCATGCTCATCTTTGGAGCGAGATTGGGGTCCTTCAGTAGATCCTGAAGAGCGACCAGTCCATCGCAGTACCAATATTCGAGCCACGCCTTGTTCCTCGCTCGAACGGTTTTGCGTCTCCACCCGCGATGCTTATCCGGGGCCCGTGATTCGACGTACTGTTGGACATCGCGCGCAGACTTCCATCCTGTCAGCTGAGAGAGCTCAAATGCATGGTGGAAGAGAATGTTAAACAAGGCTTTGATTGCCTTTTGGGAGATATTGTTGGCTAGCAACCATTGCGCGAATGCATCCCTGCTGTTGAAGGGTGTTTCTGGCGACGTTGCAGCTAGACCGTTATCAGGCAACACGTTCCCATCACTTCCCTCCTGAATGTCGTCCGGCACGATATAATCATCTGCATCACATGGTAAGCTTGCATTCTCGGAATCACTAGAACTAACGTTGCTAGAAGCACTATCATCCAAATGCACCTCTGTCAGAAAATCACCCCCGGTACATGGCACTGGAAAAGCATGAAGATGTTCGTGAAGAGGGGTTGACATGGGCACGGCTGAAGTCGAAGCAACAGCAGTGGGAATAGGATTGGGTGCTACGGTGGGTATGCGAGGGCGTTTATGCAACCCAGGGTTACTTGTGAAGTACGTCGTAGGTGTCATTGCACGCTTTGCAGGGCAGCTTGAGCTACGCATGTGACTCTCCATGCCCTGTTGGGTCAAGAAGGTGTTGACCTTGCAGGCAGGGCAGCGGTAGCTCATCTGAATGCATGGGGCAGAGAGGGAGTGAATGGGGCAGAGCGTGAGTGAATGGGGCAGAGAGGGAGTGAATGGGGCAGAGCGTGAGTGAATGGGGCAGAGAGGGAGTGAATGGGGCAGAGCGTGAGTGAATGGGGCAGAGAGGGAGTGAATGGGGCAGAGCGTGAGTGAATGGGGCAGAGAGGGAGTGAATGGGGCAGAGCGTGAGTGAATGGGGCAGAGAGGGAGTGAACGTGGCAAAGGAGGAGGGAATTGGTCAGAGAGGGACTGACTGGGGCAGACAGGGAGTGAATGGGGCAACGAGGGAGTGAATGGGGCAGAGCGAGAGTGAATGGGGCAGAGAGGGAGTGAATGGGACAGAGCGTGAGTGAATGGGGCAGAGAGGGAGTGAGACGGGCAGAGTGGGAGTGAATGGGACAGAGAGGGCGTGCATGGGGCAAGATAGGAAATTAGGAGAGGTGGGGGGGGGGGGTTGTTGTTTTGAGATACCTTGACGAATTACACAGGGAACAGAACAACTCTTCGCTCCACGACAAGTGTTCGGTGTGTCACCACTGCTCCAACAGGCAACCCTCTCCTACGGTGAACTGGCCAGGGAGATGAGGGAAAAGGGTGTGACAGAGCAAGTGGGGCCGTCAGAGAGCCAGAGCGGCAATGAGCGGGGATGCGAGAGTGGCAGAGAGAGGTAGCGTGAGAGTGGCAGGGAGAGAGAGAGAGAGAGAGAGAGAGAGAGAGAGAGAGAGAGAGAGAGAGAGAGAGAGAGAGAGAGAGAGAGAGAGAGTATGCGGCAGAGCGCGAGAGAGAATGCGGCAGGGCGTGAGAGAGAATGCGGCAGAGCGCGCACGCGCGCACGAGAGAGAGAGAGAGAGAGAGAGAGAGAGAGAGAGAGAGAGAGAGAGAGAGAGAGAGAGAGAGAGAGAGAGAGAGAGAGAGAGAGAGAGAGAGAGAGAATGCGGCAGAGCAAGAGTGAGAGAGAATGCGGAAGAGCGAGAGTGAGCGAATGCGGCAGAGCGAGAGAGAGAGAATGCGGCAGGGCGTGAGAGAGAATGCGGCAGAGCGCGCGCGCGCGCACGAGAGAGAGAGAGAGAGAGAGAGAGAGAGAGAGAGAGAGAGAGAGAGAGAGAGAGAGAGAGAGAGAGAGAGAGAATGCGGCAGAGCAAGAGTGAGAGAGAATGCGGCAGAGCAAGAGTGAGAGAGAATGCGGAAGAGCGAGAGTGAGCGAATGCGGCAGAGCGAGAGAGAGAGAATGCGGCAGGGCGTGAGAGAGAATGCGGCAGAGCGCGCGCGCGTGCGCACGAGAGAAAGAGAGAGAGAGAGAGAGAGAGAGAGAGAGAGAGAGAGAGAGAGAGAGAGAGAGAGAGAGAGAGAGAGAGAGAGAGAGAGAGAGAGGGAGAGAGAGAGAGAGAGAGAGAGAGAGAGAGAGAGAATGCGGCAGAGCAAGAGTGAGAGAGAATGCGGCAGAGCAAGAGTGAAAGACAATGCGGAAGAGCGAGAGTGAGCGAATGCGGCAGAGCGAGAGAGAGAGAATGCGGCAGGGCGTGAGAGAGAATGCGGCAAAGCGCGCGCGCGCGCATGAGAGAGAGAGAGAGAATGCGGCAGGGCGAGAGAGAGAATGCGGCAGGGCGTGAGAGAGAGAATGCGGCAGAGCGAGAGAGAGAGAATGCGGAAGAGCGAGAGTGAGCGAATGCGGCAGGGCGAGAGAGAGAGAATGCGGCAGAGCAAGAGTGAGAGAGAATGCGGAAGAGCGAGAGTGAGCGAATGCGGTAGAGCCAGGGAGAGAATGCGGCAAGGCGTGAGAGAGAATGCGGCAGAGCAAGAGTGAGAGAGAATGCGGAAGAGCGAGAGTGAGCGAATGCGGCAGAGCGAGAGAGAGAATGCGGCAGGGCGTGAGAGAGAATGCGGCAGAGCGCGCGCGCGTGCGCACAAGAGAGAGAGAGAGAGAGAGAGAGAGAGAGAGAGAGAGAGAGAGAGAGAGAGAGAGAGAGAGAGAGAGAGAGAGAGAATGCGGCAGAGCAAGAGTGAGAGAGAATGCGGAAGAGCGAGAGTGAGCGAATGCGGCAGAGCGAGAGAGAGAGAGAATGCGGCAGGGCGTGAGAGAGAATGCGGCAGAGCGCGCGCGCGCGCACGAGAGAGAGAGAATGCGGCAGGGCGAGAGAGAGAATGCGGCAGGGCGAGAGAGAGAATGCGGCAGAGCGAGAGAGAGAGAATGCGGAAGAGCGAGAGTGAGCGAATGCGGCAGGGCGAGAGAGAGAGAATGCGGTAAAGAACATACATGCTGCTTCCTTATGCTATGTTCGTTCACGCCACGTCAATGTATAACGCAGATTTCCTGATGCAGTTGCCGGCATCTACAACTCAGGATTGACACGGCGTGAGCACTATGTGGGGCGGTAGGCTCGTGAAAGGGAGGGAGGTAAAATTGCCGTCAGAGAGCTCACCTTTTCGCGTCGTGGACACGTATGTGCCCTCTCTCTGGTCCTTTCGCTACTGCGTCACGTCGCTTGTTGCGCCGTTGCTTCAGCTGCTGCAGATTCGTCGCAGCTTAGCGCGACGCGGCTGCTAAGGCGACAAACGGTCGTTGCGTTATCTCTACAATGGAAGCCAGATTCACGTTTCTGAACACAGAGTTGCCTAGATGTCGAGTGAATTATGGAGTGAATCTCAGGGATGGGTGGAGTGTGGAGGGAGGAGTGATGGAGTCGCGCACGAATAGGGCTCTCTTTGACAGCGCGGTATAATGAGGATCAAAGCGGTGACTTGAGGTACAATGTTTTTAATATACGGTGTACAGCGTTCCTGCACGATTCATACGAGATGCACCAATAATTGTGGACCTGAAATGCGTTCTGTTGGCGAATTGATGAACCGTGAGATGCGGGGCATTTTGGCAGAGAATTATATGTTTAGAAACAAACAACAAAAATTGCTTTTCAATAACTAGCTTCGATACAAGACAGTGAACATGTATATGTTAAAACAACCAAACCACATATAAAACCAGTAACTACATCTACAATATCACCATAACAGTACTCAAAATACAGTACACATTCACAACAAGAGTTTTTACACGATGGAGAAATGTAATCAAAACATTAGTATAATTGTACAAGTCATTATATAATAATAACATGTTGGAAACTGTGTACAAAAATTATTAATGTTAAGAACACATTATTAAACTCTTGTGGTAACAAAAAAAAGTTAGCAAAAACGAACACCCAAACAAAAACAAAGCACATAGTAAAACTGTTCCATAAATGGCATGACTGCAAATTGGTTACATAAAGAGTTACCGATACTTGGATGACGTGGCAACAATCAACCAACATTCTCTCGCAAAGGATAAATTGCGTGCGTTGTGTTGGTTGTCAACAAGCCCCACACATCTCCCGATCTATCGCCATATTTGTCTGAGACAGCGGACCAATGAAAACGCTCGTAAGCACCCAAGCAGAAACGCCACGTAAACCATGGTTTGTGGTCCACCTGTACAGTGCGCGACTGTTAATAGAGGTAAATGGTGATCGAGGGGGGTGGGGAGAAAACGAGTAGAAAGGCTTTCGACAATCTGCAGGTATAAACCCAGCACATCCGATGGTAAACTGCCGAGAAGCAGGGTAGTGCGAATTTCACCTCATCAATCATCGAAAATGACCGGCCTCCCAACTCAAAGAAGGACCCCTCGCCCTCCCCCCCCAATACTCGGCAGTTTCACATTTTTCCGATGACAGAGAGATTAGCGTAGCCAAAATGTCACTTGGGCTTAAACTTTGTAACTACAGAATCTGGTTACAGAGTTGCCTTGTTACCGAAGTCACATCGTAACCACCGTCACACGTTACAAGTGATTTTGCAGCCACCCACCTTGGGAGGCCGCGATCCGCTGGGCGTGCGCCACGGTAGCGAGGCGCGTGGCGGGTCCACATCCTATGGCAAGTAAAAGGACCGCGAGACAGCGTATTGCGACTGCACGCGGCGGCTCGAGGTGCACAAAAATCGTTGGAGGCGAGGTGGGGGATTCCCCTCCTCGTCTTAAGACGAGGGCAGAGCGGCATGTCATGGCGCCAGGCAACGCTACTACTGGTACTAGTCGATGTGCCGCGCAGTGCTGAGGCCAGCGCGGATGATGCCCAGGCGAACCGGCGGTGCTTCTCGCAACAGTACTATAGTTGTACAACTATCGACTCGGAGGTTCTACTATTACTACAGTAAGTGGCACTCCAAGTTGTAGGTCTACTAAGCGTGCTGCTCGCGACAGCTCTCGTGACGCTGCTTGCGACTGATCTTCTACCTAGCGCCGCGAGTCCAGAAAAGGCCGTCTGAATCTACTTGCCACGTAGAATATAATTGCTTTATGCTTTTCCTGCTTCTTACACGTGGATGAGTTTTGTGGTGTGGACGTGTAGAATGGTGGCACTGTACCATCCCTCCTGGTTGGTGGGGCTCCTGAAAGTCAAGGTTTGGATAGGGATATTTCCAAATCATCTCGGTGCCTTGTTGGACTAGATGGTGGTGTCCAGGACGTGCCGTGCTGATTGCTGATTGCTCTCCCGAAAAGTCTTTAGGGTCAATCCAGCAGGGCATGACTCCTTGTTAACCTATAGCGCCACATCGTTTCTATTATGAGCTGCAAAGAACTAAAAACGAAATCAGGACTACATAATGTGCCTATACAAATTAAATTGGCGATAATATAGTACGAAGCATAAATAGCCAGCGATCTTTTCTGAGCTTGAGTGAAGTTTAGGCCGTGGTGTGTACAACGACAATACAACGGAGGCATGGGGTTGGTATTATTGAAATGTATTCGAGTATGAAGGGAATTACACTTAGCATTCCCATATGTGCAGCAGCATCGCACCCGTCATTATCGAAGCAGTGATAACAGCAGTACCGTCATACCCCGGATATACCCCCATGGGAGGCAATAATATAACAGGTTTTTTTAGGGGGTGGGCTTATAATCGAGTAAATTTATAAGCGCCGGCGTGTATAACATGACTTATAAATATATATATATTAACACCAAAATGTAGATCTCGTGCTTTCCTTTTCAATCGAGTCGAAGTTACTGTCAGATTTATATGACATAGTTGCTGTAGGCTATAGTGGGGTAGCACATATGGGGTACAGGTTTCTAGGGTTGTATTTGTACCCAATCTTTCCTTAGTCATTTCATTCCTGTTCTTTAGTTTCACATGGTATAGAGCAGGTTCCCTGTGAGAACTTCGCCTAGGGCCCACCACTCGAAATTTTTTTCCTGCCCGAAGCGCACTCGTTCCGAGTCGCGCCTCGGGCCTCTCTCTTACCGAGCCGCCCTAGCGGCCGACCCTTACTTCGCGGCCCCGCCGCCCTTGCAAGCGGCCTCGCCGCCCCTTTCTAGCGGCCCCGCCGCCTCTTCCTCGCGGCCCCGCCGCCTCTTCCTCGCGGCCCCGCCGCCCCGTCGCGGCCCCGCCACTCCTTTGCGGCCCCGCCGCCCCGTCGCGGCCCCGCCACCCAGTCGCGGCCCCGCCGCCCCGTCGCGGCCCCGCCACCCAGTCGCGGCCCCGCCGCCCTATCGCGGCCCCGCCGCCTCTTCCTCGCGGCCCCGCCGCCCCGTCGCGGCCCCGCCACTCCTTCGCGGCCCCGCCACCCCGTCGCGGCCCCGCCACTCCGTCGCGGCCCCGCCACCTCTTCGAGCGGCCCCGCCACTCCGTCGCGGCCCACCCGCCGCCCCACCTGCGGCCCTACCGCCGCCCTACCTTCGCGGCTCACCCGCCGCACTACCTTGGCGGCCCACCCGTCGCCCGTCCTGCAGCCCGCGAGCCGCCCTACCTGCGGCCCTACCGCCGCCCTACTTGCGGCCACCCGCCGCCCTACCTTCGCGGCCCACTCGCCACCCTACCTTCGGCCCACACGCCGCCTCACCTGCGGCCCACCCGCCGCCTCACTTGCGGCTCACCCGCCGCCTCACTTGCGGCCCACCCGCCGCTCTACCTGCGGCCCGCCCGCCACCCTACCAGCGGCCCAGCCGCCCTACCTACGCAGCCCAGCACCGGCCACGCCGCCCAGCAGCAGCCAAGCCGCACAGCAGCAGCCGAGCCGCCCAGCAGCAGCCGAGCCGCCCAGCAGCAGCCGAGCCGCCCAGGAGCCGCCGGGCCGCCCAGGAGCCGCCGAGCCGCCCAGGAGCAGCAGAGCCGCCCAGGAGCCGCCGAGCCGCCCTGCTACCGGACCGCCCGACCTGTCCTGTCTGGTGAGCACGGCACTGCCCCACTGCTACAGCGTCCCCTTCCCCACTGCTTGCACTGCTAGTCTGTCGTCATGGCTACCCCCAGTGTCCTCGCTTTTGACGCTCAGGGTTGAGCCATTGACTTTGAGGTCTGGGTCGACGACCTGCAGTTGTTCTTACAGTGCGACAGAGCGGACAGTCTTTCTCTCTTTGACCTCACCTCTGGCGCCTCCCCTGCCCCTGCTGCTGATGCTGACCCCACTGTTCGCTCTCAGTGGGCCACCCGCGATGCTGCTGCACGTCTTGCTGTGCGTCGCCACTTGCCCACCACTGAGCGCGCGCACTTTAGTCAGTACAAGAGTGCTCAGACCTTGTACGACGCTGTCGTTGCACGCTACTCTTCCCCTGCCACTACTGCACTGAGCCGTCTCATGCTACCGTACCTCTTTCCTGACCTCACTGCCTTTCCCACTGTTGCTGACCTCGTTACGCACCTCCGCACTAGTGACACTCGCTACCGCGCCGCCCTTCCTGCTGAGTTCTGCGCCAAGAACCCCCCCCCCATGTACATCGCTCTCTATTACATAGTCACTCGTCTCCCTGACTCCCTTCGCGTAGTCAGGGACCACTTCCTCTCAGTCTGTCCCACTACCCTCACTGACGACCTCCTCGAGAAGGCCCTCCTAGCGGCAGAGAAGAGCATAGTCGCTGTAGGAGCCTCTCGTGGTGACCCGCCCACCCCCATCTTTGAGGGGTGTTCTCCTTCCCCCCTGCTGCCCTCTGTTGCCTCTGCTGCTGCTGCCGACCTGCTTGGTCTTGAGTCGGTCGGCGCGGCGTCTGCCCCTAGCGGGAGACGCCGCACTAGCAAGGGCAAGGGGGGCAAGGGCGCGGGTGGAGCTGGCGGGGGCGGTGGAGGTGGCGGTGGAGGCGGCGGAGAGAGTGGGGGTGGCGGTGGGAGTGGTGGCGGGAGTGGTGGCGGTGGTGGCGGCAGCGACGGCGGAGGCGGTGGCGGTGGAGGCGGCGGGAGCGGAGGCGGTGGTGGCGGTGGGAGCGGAGGCGGTGG